AACTATTCACTCCAAAACCGCAATACCGCCACTGTCATCCATCGTTGTTCACTTCGCCTTTGCCAAAGGGCGAGGGAAGGTGAATCAAAACAAGTACGGTGGCGGTGTTACTTTTGAGGTGTAAATAGTTGCATATAAATGGTGGTTGCATAAACTAGGAACTGGCTCGATCCCCTTCGTCTGACGCGGTTAAAAAACAGGTGGGGCGTGGATGTTGCATATTAATGATGGTTGCATAGAAATGCGGCGTAAATCCCATTTTTTTTTAATGTTTTGGTTGCTTTGTTTATTGGCGGGATGGGGTTAGGCTGGTGGGAATCAGGGAATGGTTAACCTATGGTTTATTATTTGTTCAAAAAGAAAATTAAATATCTTTTGTCATCTGTTATTTTTTTTCATAGAACTTAGTGGCAATGAAATTCCATACCACACAAGGAAGGGTCGGCTTTATGTGGGGATGGTGGGTTTGATTTCTGCGTTTATCAAAAGGCACCTGGTATCGTTTTTCTTTGTTGGTATACATTTTATTTCTTAAGGGATTTTTGCAGGTATTATGGAGATTCATTAACCCTTTAGGGTTGTCATAGTGAATCAAACTTTGTGTTTTTTCTCTAACCTTTTCATATATTTATATTAACGTTTTTTTATCGAGGTTCTTGGAACAATTATTTAAGGGGGGGGGGGGGGGAGTGTTGGATCATTTTTTTGCGTTTTATTATCTGAATGTAAGAAAGATAAAACAGATCAGTTTTCTAGTTGTCTTTTTATTGAAAAATTTTTAAAATATAAAATGGAATTCCAAGTGTCGACATCGTAATTCTAAAAATGGAATCATGAAAAAAAAGGTATTCTTATTGGTGCGTCCGCTCATTTCTTGTATCCTAAGTTGTCTGTTCGCATAAAAATAATTTATCTTGAATTATTCAGACAGGACATTTATAAACAAATAATGTTTGTTCCCGCAGACTTGAAAGTTGACAGTTTGTAGAAGATTATGGGCTCTTTGCATATGGGGAAAGTAAATTTCGAAACTTTCGTTTTGCAGAATTTGTCCTTTCAAAGGGGGGGTGGGTGGGGGGTTAATAGGTAAGTTTTTTATTTAATTTATTTTATTTTAGACGGGTTTTGGAAAGACAGGATGCTGGATTATTCAATTAATTAAACAGAAATGAAAATAGGTAATCTAGGTATTTGGGGCACCATAAATTCAAGTTGTCTAAATCCAGTATTGATTGTTTAAAGCAATGCTGTTGCATAAACGCTTAAAATAGTGTTTATTAGACTAGCTTAATGAAATTATTGCTTTATTTCTGCAAATTATTTGGTATTTATTTAGACTTTTCTCCTCTTTCTATGTTCATTTTCTTTTCTTGTTCATCTATTTTTATTTATTCAATATTATTACAAGGCTTCAGTGATGCAATGCCCGAAGCAATGCATGCAGGAAATTTTCTTTCTAACAAAACAAATGCAAACTATGTACCAGGCAGGAAGAAAACTCAGAATTCCACCACTCCCAATTTACCTATAAGAACTGACCTTACTTTGGTACAGGAATATAGCCCAGACATTTGTAACTACTTTTTGCAGGTAGAACAGGAGTTGTACCATGATAGAATGTACATGACGTGGCAACCAGAAATAACTGAAAAGATGAGACGAGTACTTATTGACTGGCTTACCGATGTTAATATTGAGTTCAAGAATCACTCTGAAACATTTTTCCTTGCTGTTGATATTATAGACAGATTTCTTTCCAAACGTGAGATTTCACGTGGGAAGCTCCAACTGGTGGGGATAGCGGCAATGCTTATTTCAGCAAAACATGAGGAAGTATGGCCTCCTTCGGTTAGAGAATGCGTTGTGGTAACTGCTAGTACATACAGCGAATCCGAATTAATTAAGATGGAGTGTGAGATAGCTTGTGAACTTGGTTTCCGTTTTACAGTTCCAACCTTGTATCCTCTTGCTTGCTTTTTTTTGAGTCCCAAAAATTATCGATCTGAGGTTCGTGATGCGAGTTTTATGTTTCTTGAAAGTGCTACTCATTCTTATATCATGTTGTCCCATCTTCCTTCACGTATTGCAGCAGCTTGTGTATTACTTGGCATTATTCTTGTAGCCAATAATTCAAACAAATTTGATAAGGGATATACCCTTGAGTATTTATGGTACAATGAAATATTACCATTTCCAGGCGGCATAAGCCTTGATGAAATAAGGCCGGTGGCTTTACAGCTACTTACATTTACACAAAAACTTTGTTCAGCTTCATCAAGACTTCAAGCAATTAGAAGAAAGTATCTTTCCTCTATGTTCCACGGAGTTGCTTCATTGGAATTTCCATCAGTTAATTTTTTTTCCAATGAGAATGTTGGATGAAACACAATATGATTAGACTTTATAACCCTTTGGATTTGCTTTTAATACATAAAAAGTGTATTTGAACATTATTTAAAGTCCCTGAGTTTTTTTTCTATATGCACTATATTTACGTTTTACATGCATCATATTTGTGTGCATGCATATATGTAGTTATATATAGAATAAAATGACGATCAAGATAATGTTTTTTTTTTACTGTGTGTACACATAGATATTAGTACACATCTATATAATTTTTTTCCTATTTTGGCATTCTTTTCAAATTTCCACATCTATATTATCTATGATTTGAACACTCCTGTAAATGCGTATGTATCTTTGTTTCATTCCTTGTTTACAATGAAGTTCTTTTTTATAGGTCCTAAAAATTTTACTGCTTTTTTTCACCATGAAAAATAGTGTTGCTCGAGTCCAACAAACTAAAACATTTAATTATATTCCAAAGGATAATAATATTCCTTTGATTTTTGGCACAAATTTTCATGATGATCCTATAAACAGGAACACCTTACGTAAGAGTCATAATCTTCTTTTGCCCAAGAAGGAAAATGAGGCTCCACATACCGAATACTACTACAGTGACTCAAAAAAAATACGAGATCCCAATACTCTTCTGAGCGATGAGGCACAGGAGGTTTCTGATGGCTTGGAGACGAACAAGTTTTCAAACACTGATCATAATAGCTTTGTTGTTCAACTACTTGCATATTTTGTAGAGAATATACAGCAAAACCCCACTGATGAGAAGCACATTAGAAAGGTATGCATCAAATTTTTCATGGAAGATGACAGCATTTCTATTATCGAGTTGAAAGAAGCCAATAGCGGTATTGTTCAAGGTACAATTCTCTCCCGACGCCAGGTTCCCAAAAAATCTGATGACGATAAAAAACTGGTTTTGCTGAAAGATCTTAAAATTGGTAATGAAGTATTGATATATGGCATCAATTATCATATCATCGATATGGATAGAGGAAGCCGGTGCTTTTTCAAAGAAATCCTTCATGAAAACGTCCCTGAACCTCTGGATTTCCCTTTGTCGAGTACTTGTTTTTTACCCCATCAGAAAAACAATCCTAGTCGCACTTTCACATCAGATGATATGGACCGAAAGCGTGTAATAGAGCAGCAGCTCACTGGAATTTACTCGAAGCGTTCTAATGAAGATATTTTAATTACTCAGCAATTTTTAAAAAATGGAATTAATGAACACTTGTCATACTTAGCTCTCTGGGATGATCGGGGCAGCATCAGTGGTGATTTGCATTTTTGTGTCATTAGGTTATTTCTTGAGAATTTTTCCGTAGAGGTGATGGAGCAGAGACGTGAAAATAGTACTTGTTCTGGTGGTAAGGTCCTCATAAGCCGTCAGAGAATATCTAAACCGGGATGTGATATCGCTAAAAGTAAATTCCAGGAGCATACGTTCGGTAAATTGATGAAAAATGATTATTTAGAACCACAAGATTTGAAAATTAGTGAGACTTACATAATTTTCGGAAAGCCCTTTTTTATTTATGGGTGCGATAATAAAACACGAGAATACATGAAAGCAAACTTTGATATTGACTTGAGCTCAAATGTTGACATTACACCTTTCATGACTGAAAAAAAACCAGAGATTCTATTTTATCCGCCTCCTCCAAACGGATTTGGAAGTGATTGGGGGCAGCGTAATAACTGGTTAACACTTAATGGTAATCCTCTAAAGCAGGATTTAGGGACAATGAACCCTGAGTCTGGACGAGTGTTGATCTTTATGGCGCGACTGGCAAATCCCCTTGTCAAGGGAGATGAGAGAAGAGAGTTTGCAATTGTGTTTCACTGTGACACCAAAGAACTATGCATCAATGAGAAGTCACAACGTAATTCCGGCTTTTTAGGTGGCCGCTTTTTAGCAAAGGGGGCTCACCGAAAGGAACTTGCCAACGGTATCACTGTTCCATTTGAAGCAGACGATTTTGTCATCGGAAAGTGCATTACAATTTACAAAAGAAATTTTTTGCTTAGTGGAATCACCGAAGGAACTAAGCAAGTTCTTGAGGGAAAGGATGAACTTACGACCGAAGATAAAATCAAGAACCTCATTTCTCTTTTTAAACATCAAATGAAGTTAAAGTTCACGAAAGCCAGAGAGGCTTACCTGGCTTTAGCACCGCAGGGTATTTTTGGCTATAAGCAAATCAAAGATTTCTTATATACTTGCAGTTGTAACATAAGTGATGAGGAGTCTATTTTTATCGCGCAGAACCTTTTTCCAGATGGTGCCAATATATTATCCTTCGACACATTTTTGAAGATGTTTAGTGAGATATCAAGATCGGTGGATGATTTTCCTTTCGCAGCACATTATACTGGAAATGTCAACATGTCTATTAATGAGTCTCAAAAGGAATCTATTTGGAAAAGTGAAAGTGATTACCGGTGCAGTCATTTGAAAGAATTTTTGAAGGAAAAATTAACACAGAGGAAAGGTGTTATTCAGCAACAATTTCGTCTCTTCAGCGAGTATAGCCTAAATAGCAGACTAAGTCGGGAGTCTTTTCGAAGAACTTTACGTGGTATAATACATTCTGGTATGGATAAGGCTGACGAAGACATGTTGGTGCACATGCTCTTTGATGGAGTCGAAGATGATAACAATGAGATTACGTACAAGCAATTTCAGGAATTTCTTGAATAGAATAGTATTGCCTAGAAAGGGAGGACTACCTTCACCATGTAATGTAGGAATTTTTAAATGTACAAAAATATGTCTATGTGAAAATATTGTTGACTGGCAATAGTTTTTTTTTGTTGTGAGTGTGTTCTTCATATTATTATTATACATAATGAAAGGAAATATCTTAATTGTCTCTGTCTTTGACATACATACACACACAATATATATATATATATATATCTATTGCTAAAGGGTTTAATGAAGTCATTGGTTTGCCGCACACAACGGCTTCTATTTGGTACAGGTGGAACACTGGGAAGCGTCCAAAAGGTAAAAGAAAGCACAATTAATTACACCAACTGGGCTTTTCTGAAAGAAACTTTGACTCTTCTAAAAGATATTCATCATCCCTTAGTTATCGAATATTTGTTTCGCTTAAATAAAAAGCGGCAAATAGTTGAAAATAGGAAAGAAACGGCCCTGTATGCTGGTGTCGATGATTTGAAGCTGAAAAATAAAAGCGACAGTAATTCATTTGACTTTGTTAAATGGAATGCCTGCTATCATGATGAATTTGATACAGCGGAAAGAATATCCAACATTCTTCAGGAACTCGATGATAATAGCAATCTCTACACTCAAACGAAATCAAAGAAATCACTAAGCGCTTCGGATACGGAATTTCTTCAAATGATCGAGGAAGAAATTAAAGTATTGATAATTCGAATTAAAGAATTAAATGACCAGGTAAGTACTATCATGAAGAAGCGACTGGAATGTGATGATCTAGTCGCTTTATCCAGTAAGAAGTGGATTGTATGCGTCGCGGGAAAAGCCGGTGGTGAAGAGGCAGATCTTTTCGCAAGGGAACTTTTTGACATGTTCAAATCGTATGCTAAAGAATTTCGTGCTCTTCAAGCTTCCGAAGTCCAGGATTCGAGTGATGACTTTATAGAATTTCTTAAATCCTCAGGGGGTCATCAATTTTGTGTTACGGGCGATGACGTTTATCGTAATTTTCGTCATGAGATTGGGGTGCACAAGGTCCAACGTGTTCCTTTGACGGATGCTATGGGGAAGATGCAGACCTCAACCGCGGTTGTAACTATGATGCCTATTCTGGATCCGGTATCGGTTGACATACGTGAGGAAGATTGCACGATACATTATGTTCGTGGCTCCGGCCCAGGAGGTCAAGGTATGCAGAGTAGCTCTAACTGTGTTGTGCTGACTCATATTCCATCAGGATATACCGTGAAGTGCCATCAATCTAGGTCTGCTCTTGGAAATAAGGAACTCGCATTACAGATGGCGGCACAGCACATTTTGTCTCAAAAGATTAAGAGTCAGAATTCTTCGTTGTATGATACATGGAAGAATCAGTGGAGTAGTGGCGAGCGATCCGAAAAAATGCGGACATACAATTACCTTCACAATCGTGTAACTGATCATCGCCTCGGAAAGGACTATCCCTTGTCTTTTTTCATGGATAGAGGATGTGGTCTTGCAACCCTTCATGACGAACTGAATGAGATCAGTGATTCTGAGCAACTCAAAGTTACTTTGTTGAAGCACATCAGAACTGACTTTGAAGGCATTGTCTAAAAAATGACGTATATTATTTAAAGGAGGCTGGTCTATCAACACACTTGCATTCATTTTTTTTTTCAACCTATCTAAAGGATTCTACACGTTGATAGGAATATCGTGAAGTATAGCTCAATTTATTATAGAAATGTCTCTTCATTTTTGCTTTTTTCATTTGCGTATCTAAAGTTAGCGTTTAATACATTTTTTTTTATAAAAAAAGAGATTTACTTAATATTAAACAGCTCCATCTTCACATGGATAAAGAAAAGGATAATCCAACACAACTAACGAATGAAAATGAATGTGATAAGGATAAACTACCATGGATAATACAAAAGTGGCTTGGTTTAATGCAAATCATCAGTTCCACATTTTTGGGAGGCCCACGATTTCTTAAAACAGCTCATATCGTGAATTTTCAGAAGGGAAGTACTCTATTGGTGTGTCTGTGTATGATGCGTTTTACAGGAAACTACTCGAACACTGCCACAACGTACACGGCCTTGCATGGGGCGTATGGGCTTTCCTGGCTTCTGAAAGAGATGGTTTTCCCTGATATCCAATGGCAGACACGTATTACCATTGGTGGCGCAGTCAATGTCATTTTATTAGTGTTGGGTCCTTATTGGGCAATCGCTTACAATGCTATTGTTATGAAATCTGACCGATCTAACCTCTCTCTCTGTGCTTCGATCATCGTGTTTACTATTGGATTATGTTTAATGCTTGGTTCGGATTGCCAAAAGCACTTTACTCTTAAGTGCAAGAGAGGACTCATTACCAATGGATTCTTTTCTCGGGTTAGGCATCCAAATTATCTTGGCGAAATGATTATTTACGGATCCTTCGCGTTTATATCAGGAAGCAATATTTCATGGCTTATCCTTGGATGGGTTTGGACAGGTGTGTTTCTACCATTTATGCTTAATAAAGAGGCTAGCTTGAGCCGATATTCTGGATGGAAAATTTATAAGGAACGAACAGGTTTTATAATTCCGCGTTTGTTTGATATTTAGGGAAAAATAAGTTCATAACATTAATTAATATATTCACTAGTGTTATTTTAGTCTTATTGGAGTATTAAGTACAGAACTTATATTATCATAATATAGTTGGTAACTATATAGAAATTGATAGATACATATATCTATGTATATATACTTTATTCTTCCTTCATATTTAAGGTTTGTAGGACCAAAAGTTTATTGCACGTCTAGTTAAAGTCATTTTTGTACTTCATAAAAGAATATATATATATATATATACAATATTCAAATGAGCTCAACTACCGCCACCGTAAGCAGGTCTGGGAAGACTTACCTTCGACCAGATACATCAAAGTCCTATGATTACGTCCCTTTTACACCCTTTCGAAAATCGAGTTTTTTTGAGCGACAGGTTTCTAGATTTTCAACTGAAATAGGCTTTAATCTCCTGAGGCCTTATGAAAAGGTCTTTTGCATTTTTATTTTAGTCGCCATGATGATTCTACCTTATGCTCTTTTTATTTTATTAAAGCAAATTTTTTTGATTGCATTTTGGCGAGTTTTGTTTTAGTGATAAGGACATACAACTGATCGAATACACACAAGCATTGAATACACTTCACCATTGATGTGATATTTCATTAAGCATGTTATGCGTACTTATCCTTATAAATGACAAACACAATTTCAAAGAAGAAGAATCCACGTCTTGTCATGTTGTTTTTTAGGATTATCTTTGATGGAAATTTTTTTTTAATATTATGGCTATCGATGCCAGACATCCAATTCAGAGAAGTCTAATCATTTTTCTGCTCTCAAAATGCAACGGTAAAATATTTTTTGACCCCCAAGTCAACCAAAGAAGCCATATATGTTTATATTTTTCTTTAAGTGACGAACGTGTGCGACGGTATAGGGTTAGTTTCAGAAGGAAAATAATGCATAATAAAAGGATAACATTTTTTAGTTCAAAAATATATCCCAAAAAATTATTTTTGTATGCAGACTAGAAATAGGAAGAAATAATATACTATTATAGATATATATGTTTGTTCCTTATTAAGGCAAGAGTCCACTATTATTCAAGCTTTAATTTTCTTAAGGGTAATGATTAATAAAATTTATTTGCTACATATCACCTAGGAAAAAGCATGATATATTTTATTTTATTTTCAAGCATCTAGCTGTAGCTGCGCTTGATACTGATGTTGGTCATTGTGGTATAGTTTTTATTTTTCTCCCCTTGACTTCAATTAAGAAAACATTAATTAAGTTCTAATCTTTGATTAACCAACTAACCTAGCCATTGGATGTTCAATAGTAATTTGATAAGGATCTAATTCCTTTCGTATTTAGTAGATATCCCCTTGGAAATGAATCAGTTACGTCACATGTATCATTTTTCACCATTTTAAGAAATGATAACTGTGAATAGCAAAGTCCTTAATACTGACAAAGAGAAACTGGGTTTAGGTTTCCTCTGAGCTGAGTGTAGCTGTGTGTGGATCTCTGCGATATTCACGTGAATGACTTTACCTGAATAATCTTTCCACTTGATGACGTCTCCATGATTTAGTGTTTTCCCACAGTTTCGATCTCTCGAAGACTATCACTTCGTATCATTGTGCTCACGTGTGGATGCGCTATTTTTTCTCTTCTTTTGAGTCTTGACTAGTGTCTTCTGTGAGATGTGTGAGTGGAGTGGGAGGTGAGTATCCTGTACACAAAAGTAATAATTGTTATAATATTGTTTTATCTCGATCGTCCTCGTTGCTATGCGCATATGCATGGAACTCTGGAGGTTTTAGATTCATTTTATAATGGGCATATGCTTCTGTTTTTAGAAGTAACCAAAATATAAGGATATAATATGTATAACAAATTTATTTAAAGAATGACAAAGTCATCTATATTTAAATACATTACTTTAGGAAACGGTGCATTATCTTGATGTCTCAAAGGGAATATTGAAATTTTACAAAAACGAATTTATGTAATCGATCATACATTTTAAGGAAGCCTAAATAGTAAGCGGAAAATAAGGTCTAGATACGGACTATATGTTTCTAAAAAATGTCTAGCTTCACACAATCGTTTGGAGCTCTCGCTCATTTAACCACACAGGAGCTCTTTACCTACCTTCCCAATTTTATCGCTGAATGCGATCCGCAAGTAGGTGAGTGGGTGCTGATTACACCCGTTCGACGAAGGACTCTGCTCGATCCGCTTATTCAATTGTGGGAGGGCAAAGAGTCTGGTGATGAATCTTCGGGTCACCTCACAGGAGCAAAAAAGAACCCCAAACGTTATTCTTTAAGTACTTTTGTGTGTGATGTGGGCGGAATACAACTAGCTCCTCTGTCAGTAGCAATGCTATTCCTTTGTGATAAAGAATGTACACACTCAGGGGATAGTTCGGTACCAGACAACGCACCTTTGTATTTGCATGTACGTTTAGGGTTACTCACGGCCTCAACGCCGTCTGTTTTTGGCGGGGAAGACAATATTAAGGTGATTATTATTCAGCCAGACTGCGCGAGGCCTCAAGCGGCAACACTTTATATTCCACCAGTGCGTACTTTTACGAGAAGTGATGTGAGTTCTTCAGGGGTGCGCACGCAGAAGAGAGATAAGGCAGCCGTTATGGCGTCCATCTCACCGTCTTCTGCTTCTTGTAGGGAATCCATCGAGGCTAACGCACACCAAGAATGGGTCGAATGGCAGAGGCACCATTGGTGACGTTGATGCAAGTTAGACGGTGTAAATAGTGCGAAATGACTGTTTGAGGTTTTAGAGTATGATTACCTACGATTTTATACCGAAAGATATGGACTGCTGAAGTTCTTTTTATTTGTACACTTTTTAAAAAATCTTACATGGAGGCATTTATAATTATTAATGAAAATTATAATATAGGATTATCTTTTCATATATATATTGATTTTTTAAAACAAAATATATTTGTTTAAATTTACTATTTAAGCAATCCACATGAATTCCTATTTTCATTACTTAATCCCATAACTAGTAAAAATTTCTTCAATACGTTGGATAATTCACTCTATTAAAAAAAAAAAAACAAGCTACAGATGGAAAATAAAACTATTTTGTGATCTATTTCAAAGATACATATTCTCTTTCTCTCACACACACGTATATATATATATTTATTTATTTATATTTATATAATCATCCTTACTGTTTTTTGTGCTCTACTTGTACTCATATCTACTCATTGTGAATCACAGTACTAGGACTCAGTCATTTCATATTGAGAGTGGATGCTACGCACAAGTGTCAACAACGAGTTTACCCATTATTTTGCTCAAACTGATTTAGCACTTGTAGCAATAATAAACGCGATAGTAAATGTACCGAACAGTTTTCAGTAAAGTCCCTGCAAGTTTAATTACCAAAAGCACAATCCTTCCATTGAACATATTAAATAAGATACAATTAGGCATTATCCCGCCTCTCAGTATCCAGCGCGGTTTTCTACTGGAGCACTGTGATGCACAGCTTCAACAGAGGGGCATCACAGAGGCAAAACTGCTTGCGATGGATGGTCGGCTATGCAGTCAGCTTCTCAAGCAGTTGGTCTATGAACGCTATCTCTCCATTCCGTTTCGAGTGTTCACTTTTGATATGGAATTTACCGGTTTGCCGGTATTTACACCCACAGGACCCACCGAAGACATTACCGAGTTGGGTCTGTACTCTCCCTCACACGACAAGGTCTTTTCCTGTTTGGTTCAACCCGTTTGCGGCCGTCCGCAACGCCCTGAAGTGGCCGAACTGACACACATCACGGATAAAATGTTAGCGGAGGAGGGACTTCCTTTCACTGACGCCTGGTCGAAATTTCTAGACTTTGTCAACATGCCCGAGCCGAATGAAAAGCCCGGGTCCGACGAGTGCATCCTGCTTTTATCCCATGGTGGAAAGCTTGCCGACATCTCCCTTATTAAGTGGACGTTGGAGAAGTTTAAGCTCGAGCTTCCATCGCGGTTTGTTTTTGGGGACACCATCCACCTCATCCGGGATGCCCATCGCTGCCGTCCTGTCACGGTAGACAAACACCCGGCCTCGTGGAAGTTGGGGGATTTAGTGCAGTGGCTGAGGATCCCACCTACCCTACCAGCCCACCGTGCGGGGAATGATGCCAAAATGACGTGGGATGCGCTCTACCACACGCTTCTGCGGTATGGTAATGAGGATTTGAGTCCGCGCGAACAGCTCGTCTCGCACTTCTTTAACGAAAAGGCTAAACATCGGATGAGATCGATAGAGACTGGCAATCGATCGGTCGCTGAGGAAGATGAATGCTTTTCAGAGACGGATATTTCCTCTATGAATCAGAAACGTATTCATGAAGGAGGGCATTCCCGTAGCGGTGCTCTAGAATTGGACTTTGATGACATCTTTAAGGACTCCGATGCGCTGAAGCATAGTCCCCCCATCACTGAGTTTGTTATAGAAGATAGCGTTGAAACAGATGAACCTTCAATGCCAGAAACTTTAGAATCTCATTTACCGCAACGTGAACAAGCACCACACCACCATGTCGGTAACCTCGAAAGTTTACAATCCTCGTCAGAGATGGAAAACATCACTTCTGAAGCTAAGATTAAGGAATCCAAAAATTCATCACGGACAGGAAAAAAAAATCGCACTGTAGCTGCTGTAGAATCAGATATACTTAATAAAGTATCTATTATAGTTTGAGTGAGCTCTGTGAAGATACCTTGGCATTTGCATTATCAAATTTCCACTTCTTTGCTTTTCAGAGAGTGTTGAATTTTTTTTGGATGTCTTGGTCATTATTCAGTGTTTTATTTATTTTCAGTGGGAAGCAAAATTAACTATTCAAACTTAAGCTCTAAAATAGTTATTACCTTTGGACAAGGCCTATAATTTTCAATCATTTCTGAACATTTTAAAGTTTATCCTACTTCACTAAGGGTGATTTTGATCTTATGACTTATGTCTTTTGTTTAAAGTTCCAGAAATCTTGGATACATAAAAAAAGATAGGAGTTTCAAAAAGCTTTAAACACATTGAATGGTTTATTTTATATCCTCGTATAGAAGACAATGAAACAGCTCCTGAGAGGTCAATGCAACATGATATTATAGTCTTGAGATATTAGCAATGGCTATCGATGGTGGTGTGGGGCGTTATATTGGAGACTTGAGGCGCACTATCTAACAGCGATCTCATAGCTAATTGAGTTTAATGCACTATCCAAGGTTTGCAGACTTAATGGCTTCTTACATTAAAGTGTATCCGCACAACAAATTCTCATTTTCCTCTCCATATATATAAAGAAGGAAATTCACTAAATCTAATGACCCACAGACCAAGTATTAACTTGTAGACGTGCCTTGGTAGTGATTCTTACCTACACTGACTAATCTTTTACGCTACGTGTAAAGGTTCGTCTAGACATATACATGCTATCTAGGAAAGCGTGTGAATATTGTGAACTGCATGGCGGTCAAAACGATATCGTAAGATTCTTGATATAGGCTTCCATATGGTTTCATTTCTTTAGATTTATTATTTTAAATATTTAATTTATATATTTATGTTCATATGGCTTCACTTTTTTTTCGTGTTTTTTTTTCTTGTTTCGTATTCTAAGTAAAAGTGACATTTATTTGTTAAGGAAGGATTTGTACATTTCCTTTAATAATTTTTTATTATAGTATGGTATTCCTCCAGTTTGCATGAGTGACAACATTAAAGACTTATATACTATGCAAAAGAGTTTATATCATCTTCTAGTGACGTTTTTTTTAATCAATATTTATATTCCTTCCTTTCATAATATGTTGCTTTTATTACCTGACTATTTTAGATATTAGAAAGCACAAATCTTGTTCCTCTACTGCAAAAAAAAAGCTGCGGTACAGCGCGATAACTCAGGAACGCATATCAACTTCTTTAGAGTTTGGTGGAAGGGTACATATCTATATATATCTTTATAT